TACTCTCCTCTTAAAGTTGAGCTCTTTGTATCCTTTATTTTTACATTACAAACTTTTCCTGAGCTATTTTATTGACTCTCAATGGCTACTTCTTAAATAGGAACAAGTTCCAGGTTTTCTATCCTGAACTTCAAAGACATGTAAATGGCACCATTTATTCACCATCTGCCATGATGTAGACACTGATTAGGTTTGGCACTCATTTTATTAAAAACATACAAGGAAGTTATTGTTATCTTCTTTTTACACATAAGGATATTGAGCACAAGAATGTTGATATAATTTCTTCATATCTCACATAACAATAGAAACTCATGTCTGGGTCTGTCTAACTCCAAAGTTATTATTGTACTTTCTTCTATAGCTTATTGTTTTCCTCTATCCCTAACCCACAACCATTTGCCTACTGGCTGTCTCTGCTTAGATGTTGTCTCAGATGTACTTCAAATTTAATATGTTTAGGGTGAAACTCATCTTTCCCTTTTAAACTGTCTTTCTTCCTCTATTTCTTTGCTTGGTGACAGCAGCACCGTTCTCTCAGTTATCTAAGCAGAAATTGAAGAGATTTTCAGATTCTTCTTCTGATCCTATCTTTTTAGGTCCATATACTTGCCACACCATTTCAATTGTCTTGAACTACTTACTACTTATTGTGGTCCTCAGACCAGAAATGAAGCTGATTGCATTTCAACAAGTCCCAAGGTGACTCATATGTACATCAAAGTTGGAAAAACCCTACAGATTGGTTTGTTTTAAATTCCAACATCTACCTTCTACACTGCTGCCAGAGTAATCTTTCTAGAACAAAAATCTATGTGATTTCTCTCTTAAAACTAAAAATCAATAACTCTTTATTCTTTCCAAAGAAGTCTAAGTTTCTCACTGTGGCTTCCGAGGACCCCTGGGATTCAGCTGTGCCTCCTGCCTTATCTGCTCCTGCAGCTTCACTAACATTCTCTCCAATTACACTCTTCTGTTTTGTACTTTGTACCTTCATTTGCTCTGATCTTAACAAATAGAATTAGCCCCTTTCCTCCCTAATTTCAGGCAAATATCTTCCTTCTCATCTCTGAAGACTTAGCTCCAGGATCACTTTTTCTATAAAGATTCTCCTTTGACACTCCAGGAAGAATTGTCCAACTTTCCTTATTGTGTTTATTATCTATAACATTTATTTTATTTTTAAAATTAAAAAAAAATTAGAGACAAAGTCTTGCTTTGTCACCCAGGCCAGAGTACAGTGGTGTGATTATAGCTCACTCTAGCCCTGGACTCCTGGGCTCAAGGGATCCTCCTGCCTCAGCCTCCAGAGGAGCTGGGATTACAGGCATGCACCAATGCACCTGGCTAATTTTTTTTTTTTTTTTCACATTTAGAGACAGGGTCTCACTATGTTGCCCAAGGTGGTCTCAAACTCTTGACCTCAAGTGCTCCTCCCACCTTGACTTCCCAAAGCTTGGGGATTACAGGTGTGAGCCAGTGTGCTCAGCTACAAAGTTTACATTTCGCCACCTATACACTTCCACGCCTACTTTCTTTTTTTAGACTATATGCTTCCAGAGGGCACTGACAATATGTTACTTTTGCATCCTTATTACCCAGTATACTATCTGACTCATATATTTGGTAAGGAGGAAAGGGAAGAAGAAAAGGAAAAAGACAAACTTGTCAAACAATTTAAACTAGTGTCAGAGTCTGGGAAAAAAGAAAGTGGCAAGTCATGTCGTTTCCTGTAATATAATTTGAATGTATTTAGGCTTTATTTTTAGTATAATTTTAGATACAACCAACTTTAAAATGCTGTATCTTACATTAAAAGTAAATTCTGTCTTGATAAATCAGCTTTCTCATCACATTATTTATTTTAAATAACATTTCATATTTTTACTAGCAAACTGAGCATTGGAAATGGAAGATGGTGATAACATGGAAAGCCTTCATTCTGTTTTCTGAAAGTATACACTCAGAATGACAGTCAATAGAATTATTTTGTATTCTTTTTTCCTTGTTTATTCAATCATTCATTTAAACATATAGTAATTAAGCTCCTACTCTAGGTAGGTCCAGTAGTAAGCATTGGGAATAAAAGGAATAAAATATCTACCTTCATGATATGCACGGTTTTGAAGTATATGGTGTATTTCTGAATATATAAGACATAGAATGAATTGTTTGGGAAAGTGCTTTTTGTAATGCTTTGCAAAGAATAACCACTTAAGGAACATTTTTTAAAGAGGAGAAAAATGATTTCTCTTATTATATGTTGTACTTTTAATGATTAATATGAAACATTTGAAAGGTGGTAGTAAACCCTGAGGTGGGACCTGAGATTTTGCATATCTTCTGGAATATGCATTTTTAAATCTCTTTTCCTATCCTCCTTAAGTCTAGGGAGATACTTAACTCCTTTATCCAATTGTTGTCTAAATACAGTTATTTCATCAGATTCATAAAACTGGGTGGTAGGCCACATTCTGAATATCTCCAGTCAGGCAGGCACTTTTTAAAGTCCTGAGGATACAAGAAACAAATGACAAACTCACTGTCTGAGGCAATTCTAGGATGAATATAGAAAAGGGCTGTCATTCCAATCTAATAAGGCCTGTAAGAGAAGAAAGTGGAACCTTCTAAGAACTCAGAGAAGGGATATTTTAATGTAACATGGGGAGGAGATACAGAGGACCTAGGAAGATTTCTAGAGTGGGTGACACTTTTTCAAGGATTAGTAGAAATTGGTAATTTAAACAGAAAGAAGGATATTCCAGAAAGAAAAAACAAACAAACAAACAAACAAATATCTGTACCATAGCAAGAGATGGTTTGGTATCTGTGCTAAAACTAATTCAGAGCACCTGAAGTATGAGGTGCAAGGAGGAAAAAGATAAGAGCAGAAATCATCCATGACATTTTAGATAGCCTTGGATGCTACACAATACAGTTGGGGTTTTGTCTTGAAGACAAAGGAGGTGCCATGAGAACTTTAAGAGGGAGTTGAGATGGTCAGATTTGTATGTTACAGAATTTATTTCTGCATATATATTGTTAATCTGTGTAATGGTATACGCACTTTTTTTCTTCCAACTGCTCCTCTGGGTGGTCTTATAGTTAGTTAAAAATCCTGGTCTACCTGTGTGGCTGGGGACAATTTACCTAAGATTTTTGCACTTCAGTTTTCTCTTATAGGGGAGTCTAGTACATTGGCAGTCTGAGCTGCTATCACGTGCCTCAGCACTCAAATTGCACCTTCTTTCTTATTGCTTTTCTTCTCCCTGCTTCCCTTGATCATGAGGCTGCCATGTCCTATTTTTCTTCCCCATTGTTACTTGCTCCTTGTTGCTTTCCCTTTCCATTCTCTTTCTACAAAAATTAGATCTTCCCCTCTTCAGTGATACAACTCTCACTATTTTGTGTGGTTTTCATTTTTCTGTATTTGACTTTCAATTCTTCTTTGATTTTGATCAATTATAGTGATCCTTTGGATTCGTGGAATTTTGTTGGATTTATATCTCCAATTCTTTTTAGTATCAGATGGCAATTTTGACCTTTCAGAAGAACACGAGACAAAACAAATTATCAGAGAACATTTCAGATGACCAAGCTTATACTCTGTTTGGAAGTAATACAACTTTCATTATTTAGTGAATAATGTATATTTTATTTTATGCTGCTATTCTGTAGAACCATAATTTTTTATTTATATAACTTTTTATAACCAAAATTGTCAGGAATTACAGGCATCTTGTAAATTTTTATTGACTTGCTTAAGATTTTATGACAAATAAGGAGTAGGATAAGGCTAAAATGGAATTAATTCTATAACATCCACTTCCACGGACCTCCAAATCCAGAATTTAAAAACAGTAAGTTGAAGCATGTTAGTTAATTAAGGTAATGAACAATATGCACCCGTTACTTTAAGACTATATAATTTTAAGGTGCTATCATTGTTTAATAAGCTCTGGAGACCCGGCATCTGATTTGACAACTACAGATTCCACCATGACACCATGCGCCTTCGACACATACGTCTTGCATTCAAGCTGTTTACAATGTAGCAAGAGAGTTAAGATGTTATAAAAAAGCATTTTTTAAAAAATTAAATCTCCCTCTTAGCTGAAATTCCAATTTCCCAGTTTTTTTATTTGTTAGTGATACTATAATTCTACTAGCTTTTCTGACTCTCCCTGACCCCGGTCATTCCTGAATTATTTCTCTCATTTTTCTAAATTTCACTGTGTCGAATCCTTCTGAATTCTCCCTTCGTCATTTCACTGAGGTCTGTTCTTTAGTGTCTGTTCACCACCTCCCACTTGAATTTCATCTTATCTGCTCTCTTACCTGTAGTTCTCTATCTCTTCCAATTGGAAATGCACAACTAATCAAACCAGTCTTCTATTTTTGGTATTCATTGTCCTATTCAGAAACTCCCAGTTGTCCTGGTACTTTTAATAGCTTGCCTTTTCTCATAAAGTTCAAATATGACCTTTCGAATCCACTCTTTCTTATTGGAACTCATCTTGTTTGTACCTGCCCCAAATTCTTCAGTGATAACTCACACTCCACTTCCTCAAGGTATTGCATAATTACTACAGCTTCTGCAGTTTACATTGATCTTGAATGTGTCTGACTCACTCTGACATATATAGTCCAGGCTGCACACCAGTGGCATGAGTTTATACACTGCCTGGTATGGTTTTAAGAAGGTATCGAAGTAAAGCGGAATACAAAAATGAAATGTGAAATTGAAAGACAACTTGAAACCCTCATTTTCTCCCATACTCCTTTCTTTATCCCTGTAACCACTGGGTTTCAAGAGTTAACTAACCCTTTCCCAATTTTGACATCACTCCATGCAGTTTTATATATTTTATCTTCAATAAGAATCCAATGTAAGTTTCATCTTCTTTCAAGTATAAATTACTATGTATTACATAAATACTATTCATTTTATGTATTTTTTATACTCACAATGTAAGCCCACCAGTCATTTTTTTTAGTAGGACAATGACAGGCTGAAACAAGGAAGAATCACCATAGAAGAATTTAGAGCAATTTATCGAATTATCACGCACAGAGAAGAAATTGTTGAGATTTTCAACGCATATTCTGAAAACCGGAAAATTCTTTTAGAAAATAATCTGGTTCAATTTCTGACACAAGAACAATATACAGCTGAGATGAGTAAAACTATTGCTTTTGAGATCATTCAGAAATATGAACCTATCGAAGAAGGTATGTTTGCATTTCAAAGTTTTATCAGCATATTTATGTGAAGTATTTTTTCTTTTTCCAAAAATTATTTTAAAGCAAATTATTTTTATGAATTATGGTTATCAAATTACAGTTTTTGGATGGGTCAAATATCTTTGGGAAAATATATTTTATAGAATTGATACCTTTTAGAATGCTATACTATGCAATCGTGGCATCGTTTCCTATACATTGTTCAGCTCCTTCTTTCAACTGTTTCCATGTATCTCTCAAGTATTCAGAAATGAGCTTGGAGGTGAAAGACAGACAATGATTCTATTACATTTACCCTATTAGAAGAAAGTATCTTGATCTCATGAATAAGCTAAAACCCCAGTTATAGGTGGTCTTCCATTTTAATGCATTCTATTATTGAAAATATGTATGAAAATTAAATGTGCTAAATGAAAAAAAATTCTAAGAAGAAAATATTATAAAATGATGAATTTTACTTTGTTTATAAATATAATTATCTACAACATTTCATAAATATATAAATATATATATATACTTTTTGCTTTTTCTTCATTTTTGAACACAGTGATTTGGTTTAAATTAAATGACCATTTAGAATTGTCATAGAATTTGTGATCTTTGTTCCATCTGTCATAGAATTTGTGATCTTTGTTCCATCTTTCAATGGGTAAAAACACTTCACAGTTTTTCATTTATGTTCATTTTGAAATAAAATTGTAAACACATAATACAATAAAATATTCATATAATGGTACCAAAACATTGTTAAAGCACAATGTTTGACCTTACAGAAATTAACTGATAGAATAACTCAAAATATTCACCTAGAAGGGGCGTATGAAAGTTCAAGTTTTGCCTCTTTAAGTTGGTTTAGGCTACCAATGTTTGACACATGATAATGTAGGTACTAACAAACCCAAACTTATTTCTGCATTGGATCATACATTCATAATTTATTCAAATATTTGTCTGCATTAATCAAGTATGGTTTTGGGGACTGAAGATATAGTGAAGAACAAGGCAATTAGGTCTTGAATTCCTGATGGGTTGGAGGAAAGTTGACAGTAAATAATGAAGCACGTAAAAGGATAACTTAAGAAAGTGCTATGGGATATGGAAACATAGAGCAGGGAAGGTGATGGAGGGCAGATGACCTGGGAGGCCTAGTTCAGGTTGGGTGTTTAGGAGAACCCTCTCTGAGAGTGTGAGATTTGAGCTGAGACTTAAACGGAAAGAATGGACAAGTTATGTGACAAAATGAGAGAAGTGTCTAAAGTACAAGAAAGGGAAACTTTAAACCTGAGTTGAAGAACTGAAGGAACAGGAGGACTGTGTGGTTAGAACTTTGAGAATGAGGGGGAGATGAGTTTGGAGAGACTGGCAGAGGGCCACAATAAAAATTCTGGCTTCATGACTCAGTGCCATGCAAAGATTTTGGAGGGTTCTCAACATTGTAGTGGTGTCATTGAGTTCAGTGTTAGTGACAATTTGGTCTCAGCACCATTAAACTTTTGCAGGTTTGCAGCAAGGTAAAGAGCTTGCACCAGAATATTAAGCAACTGTATCACTAAGCAGAACTGATGAGTTCAGTTTACTTTTTTTTTTCATAGCAAGACTTTCTCTAAGGAAGTAGTGAATTGATTTATGGTCTGGCTCAAGCTCTTTATGTCATTGCCAACTGGAAACAACCAGTTTACAGATGAGGACTTTCAGTAGCACTGATCTAGAGAATATTACCAAAAAAATTACTTTGGCACTGTTAACTTCAGGTGGTAAATTAAAAGATACAAATGAGATATCGAGATGGTGGCAGTGACACTTTGGAATTGTGTTTGCATTTTAACTACAATATTATACTGTTCATCCATTTCCTCTTTTGAGCCTTCACCTGCCTCCAATACTCTCCAACACAGCCAAGACCTTGCATTTCATTTACATGATTATTGATCACTTTGGTGTCTTATTAAGGCCCATTTGAATTATGATCTTATAGTTCCAAGTGCTGCCAAGTTCCTCAGCCTCATCCCTCATTGGTATGTGACATGTACCAAATGAGATTTTTAAAAATCCATGTGATTAATCCTCATTTCAAACTGGTAGTTTTTAAGGGAACAAAATGAGTTTATTTTCTATTCCGTTACCGAAGATATTTATTTAATTATTCAGTAGTTCAAAAGGGCTAAGCCAATTACTGCTAATTAAACAGGGAAAAATAATAAATGTATGCAAGTCATTACTGTTACAATGCATGATTCATTTGCTCCATACACTTCTATCTTCCTAAATTTATATGATTTTGAAATAGAGGGTTTGTATACCTATAAAAATTTTATTTATTTTCTTTTAGCTTTTATATTTTAAACCAAAATAGTAATAGCATTTTGAATGCTGTCTTCTTCATTTTTACGATGTCATAAACGTTTACTTACATCACTCTATTTTTATGATACATTATTCTTAGTGGCTGCTTAGTATTGTATCACATTTTGAGCTTTAATTTGTTTATTCCCCCGCTTTTATCTTGCTTTCATAAATAATGCTAATGCGAGCATTCTTGTACATCACTGAGTCTTTACTTCTATAGGATAAATTCCTGGAAATAAAATTCTCTGTCAAAGATCACACTCTAATCAAATGAATGCTCATGTCATCTTTTCTTTTTGGTTAAAGTTAACTATCAATAGCAATAATAGCAACAAAAAATTATAGAGTTAATATATAAGGGTAGATCCTATTATTACCTCCATTCCACAGATAGGGAGAGGTTAGCTAACATGCTCAAGGTCATATAACAAGTTAAATGGATATGAATCCAGGCTGTCTGTTTCCAGAGCCAGTCTTCTGCTTAAATTGATATTTTGGTACACATTATAGTGAGTAAAAAAGTGCAGAGATTAATTACTAAAGGTGATCATATGCAAATGACAGAGCAATTCCATTCCTAGGCATGCACCATACATAAATGTGTGTATATTTGCACCAAAAGACATTTACTGGTTATTTTTGGCAGCACAATTTGTAACAGCCTCAAACAGGAAATTATCTAAATGCCTATCAGTGATAGAATGAATAAATAAATTGTGGTATAATCATACAGTGGAATACTGTAAAGTAATGGGAATGAGCAATGTATAACTACAGGCAACTACAAGAATAAATCTTTGAAATATAATGTTGAGTAAAAGAAACCAGGCACAAAAAATACATACTGTCTGAGTCAATTCATATGAAGCACAACAACCAAAGAAAACTAATCTATTCTTTTAGAAGTCAAATCAGTGGATATACTTGGGTGTGGTGAGCAACTGGAAAGTTAGTTGGAGGCAGGCTTCTGGAACACTGCAATGCTTTGTTCTTCGACCTGTGTGCCAGTTATCCAGATGTGTAGCTTGTGGAAGTTCATTGATCTATAATATATGTACTTTTCTTGTGTGTATTTTCAAAGCATAAAAAAATCAGAGGTAATTAAATAATATATTCTTTACTTGAATGTTAATATGGAAGAACTAAAGATTTTACTACAAAAATTTGTTTCCAAACAACATAAATATAGTATGAATATTAATTCTAAAGGAATATTTTAGAAATATGCTCTACTACTGAATAAGTTTACAAGTGAGATGTAGTTTTTTATCTTGCTAATGGTATTTTTTGCATCCTTTTAACTTATTTTATTTTTTTTTTAGTTAGGAAAGCACGCCAAATGTCATTTGAAGGTTTTTCAAGATACATGGATTCACGTGAATGTCAACTATTTAAAAATGAATGTAGAAAAGTTTATCAAGATATGACTCATCCATTAAATGATTATTTTATTTCATCTTCACATAACACATATTTGGTATCTGATCAATTAGTGGGACCAAGTGACCTTTGGGGATATGTAAGGTATTTATTTGATTTTTAAATCTATTACATTTAAAAATACGTGGAAGTTCCTGGCAGTGTCTACCTCAGTAGCCAAGAGTGCACAATAAAAAGAAGACTCCCATGTTATCCAAACTCATAGGGAATAGGAATTTTTATTTGTACGTATCTTGAAGATCCAACATTTGGATGAAGTGGTAACATAATTTATTTTATGCATTAGTATTGTATTGCATACATAATCCCACATGTTGAACTCTTCTCCATGGTTATGACCCCTCCAAAGTTTGCTGAATAACATAGATACTTCTCAAAGGAAAGCATATGAAGAAGACTGTTACTTAGCTAGTCAGAAGATCCTAGATTTTAATAAGCATGGTTAAAATTAATTCTCAGACATCAGAACACATACTATAACTAAAGCCAACACGTAAATACAGTACATTGTATAACTTCGCATTTATGGATAGTGATTTTTATAGACTTGCATGCTAAGTAGTTTACATAGATTAAAAATAATCCGCGTTGCATTGCTGATTTTATACCTAACAATGTATCTATCATACTGTTAATACCAGACTTCAGTTTAGTCAGCTCAGATACAGTGGTGAACGAGATTTTCGAAGCTGCTACATATATCTGTGTACAAGCAGATAGACAGATAATAACCAGGTAAAAAAATGTTTTCAAGGATGAATGAATCATACGGGGAAGATGAACTAAGGTAATGTGATGGAAAGTGACTGTGGGGTGGAGGGTGTTACTTAGGGTAAAGTTGTCCGAAAAGTCTTCTCAAGAGGTGAAATGAAATAGTTGTGGCATGAGTGATGATACAGGAAGCCTTAGAGAGATTAGTAGGAAGGTCATGTTAAACAGAGCAAGTGCTTGGCATGTTTAATTGAGAGAAAAATGGCAAATGCTGCTGGAGACAAGTCAATGATGAATGAAGGGAGGTGAGTTTGAGGAGGTAGGTAGAGTCAGTTAATGAGGATCTTGTAGAGCATGGAGAGGAGAATAGATTTTATTCCAGCTGCACTGGGAAGGATTTTCCTTAAGATAGTGTCATAATTTGATCTATTCAGTAATGTGGAGGAATGACTGATGGGGCCAGAGTGGAGGTAGAATATGATTTGGGAAGATGGTGTAGCAGTGCAGGTGATATAGGTGGTGGTGAACTCATGAGGCAGCAGCTGAGATGATAAGTAGTTGAATTTGAGAGACAGATGCTTCTTGACTTACAATGTGGTAACATCCCAATACTTGAAAATACCTTAAGCTGAAAATGCATTTAGTACATCTAACCTACCAAACATTATAGCTTAACCTAGCTTACTTTAACACACTTACACTAACTTACAGTGAGGCTAAATCATATCCCCTCTCTAAAAGCACCCCCCAAAACTGGCAACACAGGACACTGTAGAGTCTTGGTTGCTTACTCTTGTGATCATGTGGCTGAGTAGGATCTGTAGCTCACAGCTGCTGCTAAGCATCTTGCGATGGAGTATCTCATATAGCATATTGCTAGCTTGGGAAATGACCAATATTCAAAATTCGAAGTGTGATTTCCACTGAGTGCATATTTTCTTTGCACTATCATAATGTTGAAAAGTTGTAAGTTGAACCTCCTAAAATTGGGGACCATTTTAGGAGGCAGAGCCAACATGACTTACCAGATGATTTGAAGAGAGATATGAGGGAAAGAGAGGAATCAAGATTTTCATCCCAATAACCAAATTACAGTGATACTGTTGGCTGAGATATTGAAGACCAAGAGAGAAGCCCATTGTAGGGTGTGAGGCAACATGCAAGGGTTCTGTGGTTTCCATGTTAAGTTTGAGGCACCAATTGGTTATCAAATGGCTGATCAGATAGTCAGTTGGGTATATGTGTGTGGAATTCAGAAGTTATCAGACTGGAAAAACAGAATTGGAAGTCATCAGCATATGTGGGATATTTAAAACCAAATGATTATATAGTATTACTTAAGGTAAAACCATCAATAGAAAAGACATCTTATAAATCCAAGATAGCAGCAAACATACAACTAAATATTGCTGCTTCTCTAATTTCAAATCTAAGTAAAGACATAAATTCACAAATTTGGAAATGTATTCATTTAGAATTCTGTAAAGATAGCCCAATTTATAGATATAATTTAATTACAGGAATTTCTGTTCATTTTTTGTTATTTTAATTATTTAAAGAGAGAAAATATAAATATTAAAGCAGCTATCTTTAGAAATATATATAATTACTTTTACATTGCAAGAAAAAGTTTCATCTAACTGCAAATTTACATTTAAATGTAATTGTACTTTTCTCTGTTTCTTTATCCACCTTTGGAAGATACATGCTTAGAATGAAAGTATTTCATAATATTTTTCCTTATGACTAGTGGCATAATATAGTGTTTAAATATCAATGTTTAAGTTTCTATTGCTCATATTTCTTCCCTTTCCCTCATCTGTTAATTTCGTGACAGATATAACCATTGTGTATCTCAATTTCCTCATATTTACAAAAGGAAAAATAATATTACTGCTGTATAGCATTCAATATTTTAATGTACCAAAAGATTCTTAAATTTATTTTTATTACCAGTTAAAATTCAACTTCAAATAGAAAATAGTAACATTACACAATCTAAAGAAATTACAATAAAAATTATAATATTTTATACCTTGATAGTTTATAGGAAGTATTTGAAGGAAATTTAAAGATAAACAGATGAAATAAAGTTAAGAGTGGAAATTTCATACCACAAAATTCTGTAGTTCTGTACAAATTCTAGAATGCCTGGAGAATATCACCTGTAAGTTTCCTAGCAGTCAAAGTCAAGAGAGAAACAAGATTAGTTATCAGGTTTACAATGATCATAAAAAACAGTAGTGAATGGGAGAGCAATTTTCTCCATTTGTTTCCAAAAAGGAGGATCAAAGTGAAATAGTGGAGCGTCCTCAACATCACCGTTAGAGAAGATAAAACTTTCTCTTATGTGCCTCCGCATGTAAATGGTTGGCATGACATTGTGCAAACACTGAAAACATTTTTGCGGGGCATCAAACCATCTAGTTTGAATATGCAGTTTTGTAAAGGTTGGCCTGATCCATGGATAAAATTAAAACTATCTAGAGAAGTAGCAAGAGCCAATATTATTTATGAGAAGTTTTCTTTCACAATATAGTTCTTGGTGGTTTTTTCCCCACACCACCCAAGTAGAAAGCTCAAGATTGTTCTCTGGCAGCACTCCAGAGAACTCATACTCTGTGTTGATGAAATAGGCAAGACAATTTACTGTCATAATCAAATAAGAGTCAGGAAAGCAAACATTCTTCCATAGAAATTAAGAAACTTTACAAATAAATATTGCTTCTTCTCTAACCTAAAATCTAAATACATAAATAAATCCATAAGCCAAGAAATATATTCATCTGCAATTCTACAAACGTAGCCGAATTTAGAACTTCTGCCAAGGATTAGGTGACCACCTTATTTGCCCAGAGTATCCATGGGCCAGACAAGATTTCTCTATAAATATTCTAGGTCCATTTCTCCAATATAGAGACAATTAGTTAACAAAACTCTGAAGTTGTACATTATAGTGCATTACCACATGCCTAAATAAAGCATTGTGCACTTAAACAAACAAACAAACAAACAAACAGAAAAAACCAAAGCAAATTACCCAAGTGTGGTAGCATGTGTCTGTAGTCCCAGCTACTTGGGAGGCTGAAGTGGGTTGATTACTTGCGCCTAGGACTTCGAGGTTGCACTTTAGTCTGGGTGACAGAAAGAGACCCCATCTTAAAAACAAAAACAAAAACAAAAACAAAAACAAAAAAACCCCAGATGCATAAAACAAAAACCAGCAAAATTAAAAAGCCCTATCCTGGCCGGGCGCGGTGGCTCAAGCCTGTAATCCCAGCACTTTGGGAGGCCGAGACGGGCGGATCACGAGGTCAGGAGATCGAGACCATCCTGGCTGACACGGTGAAACCCCGTCTCTACTTAAAAACACAAAAAACTAGGTGGACGACGTGGTGGGTGCCTGTAGTCCCAGCTACTCGGGAGGCTGAGGCAGGAGAATGGCGTAAAAAACCCAGGAGGCGGAGCTTGCAGTGAGCTGAGATCTGGCCACTGCACTCCAGCCTGGGCAGCAGAGCGAGACTCCGTCTCAAAAAAAACAAAAAACAAAAAACAAAACAAAACAAAACAAAACAAAAACCTATCCTGGCTAACACGATGAAACCTGTCTCTACTAAAAATACAAAAAATTAGCCGGGTGAGGTGTCAGGCACCTGTAGTCCCAGCCACTCGGGAGGCTGAGGCAGGAGAATGGCGTGAATCCGGGAGGTGGAGCTTGCAGTGAGCCGAGATCGTGTCACTGCATCCCAGCCTGGGCGACAGAGCGAGACTGTCTCTTAAAAAAAAAAAAAAAAAGAAAACCCAAACACCCCAAAAGAATTTATTAAGAATTTAATTTTTCTTAATAAAAATTTGACTGGTTGGTGAAGCCTCCAAGATAGATGAGATTCACTAATTCTCTTCCTCTTTAATGCCTTACTTCCTCTTACTTCCTCATCAGGTTTCTTCTGTCTTTTATCTCTATTATTTTCAAGGGGGTATATAAGGTTTCTCTCTCTCTCTCTCTCTCTCTCATATTTTAGGCAGTCCTGAATTCAGTACATTGACTTAGTGTCATAATTGTTTTATCTATTCTCAGCTATGCTCCTACCTAAGTACTTCTAGGGTCATCTCCCTAGAAAGGGACTAAATATGATCTCCAAAGAAGAACTAAATCTAAAAGGTTCATTTTCTTATATGGCCCATTCGGTGCTCTGTGCTTCTGTTTAGAAAAGCTACTTACTTTATATAAGTACTTTGTGCTGGGACCACACTCCCTTCTCCAGGTTGTCACGACTTATGGCAGGGTTTCTCAAACTTTTCAGTTTTTGAGTCAGATAATTTTTTGTTGTTGGGGACTGTCCTGTGCATTGCAGAATGTTTAGTGGCGTTGTGACTGTTACCTGCTGGATGCCAGTTACAAACCTCCCCCATCTCCAGTTGTGGCAGCCGAAAATGTCTCCAGACATTGCCAAATCCCTCCTGAGGCAAAATCGTCCCAGTGGAAAACCAGTAGCCTGTAGACAGAGGGGTAATTTAACGTACTTATTGGAAAAGAAGTGCTAACTTGGCTTTCTATGGAAAAATATCTCTATGTATGACAAGGGAGTTTTTTCAACCTCATTCTTAACATGCATCAATTCTAAGATCCTGGTGTTTCAAGTCAGCTCTCAGATTCAGTTTTGTCTCTTCCAAGATCGCATTTTAGAAGATCACATTTTTCTGTATAAACACAATAAATATTTACTAACAGTCAGTTTATGTCAAACATGCTTTATGGACTGAAATTTCAATCCCTGCTCTTGCAGAACCAGCACTAACCATTGCCTCATGTTACTGTTGCTGACCCTGTCTGTGGTTGGCACAGATTACTACCCATGTCAGGCCAGGTTCATAGATAATAGGAACAACTATACAACTCTGTGTATGTGTCTGTGAAATAATTTAAAGAATTATCTTAATGCTATATCTACATTTGCATGAATCAATAAAACAATATCTATACATAAATCAATAAATTTGAGTGAACTCTTGGTAATTTGGGGCAAATGACCTGTTTCATGATGACATACAATGGCCTACTCTGGGCTAGGTATGAATATTTTGAGACATCCCTATTTGCTTATATTCATTATTATAAAGTCAGTGAAAAATCTGAATGCAATCAGCTTCAACTGACACAGAGTAAATAAAAGTGTATGTGCTAATAAAGCATCCCGTCTCTGCTCTCTTGTAGTATGAACACTGAAAATTAATTTAAACCCAGTGGGTACAACTGATTTAATGAACCTAAGATAGAATTTATGTTTAAATCAAGAAACTGATATTTTTAGGTAGAAAAATCAGACCCAGTTTTAGATATCAGTAGAAGTAGAAATATATTTTCCTCGGTTTTGATAAAGCTGTGAATTTATATTCTGAGGCAAGCAAGTCATACTTTTCTCCCAGTGAAATTGTGAGTCGAATAGACATAGATTAGCAGGTATCCAGCCTTCCTTGGCATAAACCTTAATTTTCTCTAGTGCTTACTTGGATTAAAATTAGAGATGGCCTTACGTAAAATGGTTAGAGAGATAAGGATTATTTGCTGATTCACCAGGTCCTCTAGTTTCCATACCGTCTAGCCAACATTGTTTCCAGGGAGCAAGTATTATCACAGTTTATCTTTTCTTTATCCTTCCCTTTCTACCATATACCTCATTCCCCAAAGCCTGACATGAGGAAAGAACTAGATAAGATTTTATTAATAGATTTTACTATTCTGAGAGGGCTTTGAATATCATCGTTTTTCATTGGTATGGCATTGAACAGTAAACGCCACCACAAGTAAAATTGTATGGGTTGGGAGGAGGGATGTTTCAGAGCTACAACTATGGAGCAGGTATCTTCATTGCTTACTGAAAACCAAGCATGGTATGGAGAGCACACGAGAGTAAAACATTTGACTAGAAAGACACAGTGTTGTACTACACAGACAGTCTGTGTCTTCCCTTATAATGTAAATTTCTAGAGACTCAAAGCTTGTCCTAAAGACAAGTTTTTATAGAGTTTTATGGACTCATTTATGCATTTATTATAAAATCACAAATAGTCTTTGGAATGTTTTAATACTTTGGTATATATTTTTAATGGTCCAGGAGTAACATTTTATTTTGCGGAAATTTTGCTAGTGCCCTTGTGAAAGGATGCCGTTGTTTGGAGATTGATTGCTGGGATGGAGCACAAAATGAACCTGTTGTATATCATGGCTACACACTCACCAGCAAACTTCTGTTTAAAACTGTTATCCAAGCTATACACAAGTACGCATTCATGGTATGTACATATCTTTGTTCAACTGTAGCTATTTAAACAGAAGCAATTCTAATTTACTTGCTTCAAAATCCTATAATGCTCAGCCTTACTTTAGATGATATTTCAAATTGTGGGTTATGATCCATTAGTAGGCAGTGAAATCCATGTTGTATGTAGTTAAAGGTAGATTTATCGAAGTTAGGTTCAGGTGGTAAGGTACAAGTGTTTCATGGAAATTTTTGTTTACTCGTGTGTGTGTGTGTGTATTGTTTCACAATGTAAAATATATTTATTATTGTGGATGATGGCAGGAAAGTTTGAGAAATACTGGTCTAGGTAATAAGTAGATATTTTACCAATATTCAACTATTTTACTTTCAAGACAAAGTAATATCTGTCAACAATGCATCATTTCAATTGTTAACATTTTAATGACTATAATGACAGCTATTGATATGGTAAGAAATGTTCAGAAGTTTACTTTGGATTCAATAATTTTTAATTTAGTATAGATTCAAAGATATATTTATTCCTAGAATTTAAGCTCAGTATATGAATCCTACCCTATAAATTGAGCAGGTTTTTGCAATCCCTCAATGTTAAGGAGTTCTAAATAGCACTGGTTTCATTTATAAACGTGGCTAATTTTGCACCTTCAGATATTTTAAGTTGTTTTTGTAAACTTAACACACTTGATTTTTTAAGTACTTCAATTATAGTACAATTTTACTATAATCAAAATGACTAAAAGAATTCTTACTATGTACTAAAACTATGTAATGTGTACCTAATACATTAAATTTACAAATGTAACATGCTTAAAGTTCTCCTATGTCAATACATTACATAATCTGTCAACATAAACTTAAAATCACAAATTTATATAAATTTATCTACTATATATTAAAAGACAGTACACAATAAATATTCCAAAGATACAAATATCATATATGAATAATTTCTATCTTAGTATAAAAACATTGAGAGTATGGCACTGATTCTCCTAAACATGTAGTTTCTATTATTTCTAAATATATTTATCTCTACTTCAGTCTCTTTCTTGAACTCATACCAATGTACACAACTGCCTATTTGACATTATCACTTGGACATGAATAGGCATACTTAACTTAACATGTTTAAAATTGAGCTCCCTGATATTTCTCCAGTCCTGTTCTCACCATGATCTTCCCCATCTCATTAACGACAACTTTCATATGCTCTAGCCAAAACCTTTTTGCCAACCGCAACCTTCTTCTCCTTCTCTCAAGCCTCTCAATCAATTCTTCAGCAAATCATCTTGGCTTTACTTTTAAAATGTATCCTGAATTTAGCTATCTCTGCCCATTCTTACTGTCACTGTCCTAGTCAACCAACATTACCTTTCACTTAAATGATCCCAGTGCCCTCTTCTCTGATATTCTTGTTTCTTTTCTTATTCCCCTGTAATCTCAACATATCAGCCAGAGTGATTTTTGGTAAGTCAGACTACGTCATTCCCCTTCTCAAAGCCTTCGACCTCACTCAAAATAAAAGCTAAAATTTGTACAATGACTCACAAGGTCCTAAGTGGTCAGTTTTTCATTACCTCTTTTAACTCTCCTGCTACTCCATCCCTGTTCACTTGGCCATTCTGGACTCCTTAGTCTTTTTCAGACACATCTCAAGGCCTTTGTACTTGCTGTTCCCCCTTTATATGAAATACTCTTCCCAAATATTTGCGTGGCTAACTCCCTCACCTAATTCAGAGTGGGAAAATGAATTAAAAAAAATAGCGACAGTCTTAAAATTCAAAGGCCTTGCAAAGATGAAAAGCCTACAGCTTCTAAGATTTCAAAAAGCAAGAAATGGGCAACTAGATCAGAAAAAGAGACAAAATGCAATACTTCCTATTCTTTCCAATAGGAAGAAAAGAAGCAACATTATTTTTATTTGTAGATGACATAATCCTGTCTGTAAAAAAGCCCAACGATTCCACACGAAAACCCTGTTAGAACTCATAAATCAATTCAGTAAAGTTGCAGAACACAAAATCAACATATTTAAATCAGTAGTATTTTTATATGCAAATAGTGACCTAATTGAAAGAAATTAAGAAAATAATCTCATTTACAATAGTATAAAAATGACATATCTAGGAATAAATTTAACCAAAGAAGTGAAAGATCTGTATACTGAAAACTACAAAACATGGATGAAAGAAATTGGAGACTCAAATAAGTGAAAAGGTATCCTATGCTCCTGAATCAGAAGATATAAAACAGTATTGTTAAAATGTTCATACTATCTAAAGCAATACACAGGGTTTTTTCCCCTTGGGGTGTGGTATTGATATGTTGTTGAGGCTGGTGTCAACGTCCCGGCCTCAGAAGTTCCTCTCACCTTGGTCTTCCAAAGTGCTGGGATTATAGGTGTGAGCAACTATACTGGGCTACAATATACAGATTTAATGCAATCCTTATCAAAATTCCAATGGCATTATTCATAGAAATAGAAAAAAAAAGTCCTAAAATTTGTAAAGGACTATAAAAGACTTCAAATAGCCAAAATAATTCTAATAAAAACAAAGTTGGAGGTGTCACACTTTCTGATTTAAAATCATATTTCAAAGCTATAGGAATCAATACAGCATGGTCCTGTGCAGAAAAACAGACATATAGACCAGTGGAACAGAATAGAGAGCCTAGAGATCAACCTAAGCATATATGGTCAACCTAATTTTTGTCAAGGAGACCAAGAAGACAAAATGGTAAAGGATAGTATCTTCAATAAATGGTACTGAAAAAACTTAATTTCAGCATGCTAAAGAATGAAATTAGACCCTTATCTTACACCATACACAACAAATCAAGCTAAAGTGGATAAAAAAACTTACATATAAGACTAGAAACTATGAAAACCCTAGAAGGGAACATAGGGGAAAATCTCCTAGACACTGACTTTGGCAATTATTTTTTTGACATTACATCAAAAGCTCAGATCACAAAAGCAAAAATAGGTAACTGAGACTACATCAAACTAATAAGCTTTTGCACAGCAAAGGAAACAATCAACAGAATGAAAGGGCAGCCTATGAATTGGGAAAAAATATTTGCAAACCACGTATCTGATAAGGGATTAATATCCAAAATTTATAAAGAACTCATACAACTCATTAGTGGAAAAGAAACTTGATTAAAAAATGAACAAAAAACCTGAATAGGCATTTCTCCAAAGAAGACATAAAAATGGCCACACAACATTATTAGTTACCAGGGAAATATAAATCAAAACCACTATGAGATACCACCTCACAGTCTTACCATGTTAGAAGGTCTCATCAAAAAGTCAAAGGATACCAAATGTTGATGAGGGTGTGGCAAAAAGGGAACTCTGTACACTGATGGTGGAAATGTAGATTGGTACCACCAATGGGAATACAGCATGGAGGTTTCTAAAGAAATAAAAAATAGAGCCACTATATGACCTAGTAATCCCTCTTCTTGGTACATACCCAAAGGGAATTAAATAACCATCTCATAAAGATATTTGTGCTGCAATGTTCACTGTAGAATTGTTCACAATAGCCATGATATGGAAACAACGTAAGTGTTCATTGACAGACAAATGGATAAAGAAAATTGGATATATACAATGGAATATGATTCAGTCTTTAAAAAGAATGAGATCTTTCCATTTACCACAACATGGGTAAGGACATTATGTGTTAAGTGAAATAAACCAGACACAGAAAGAAATAATGCCTGATCTCAGTTACATGTGGGATTAAAAAAAAACTCTCAAATATACAGAGATAGAGAACAAAACAGTGGTTGACAGGAACGAGGTGTGGGGAGGGAGAAGAAAATAGAGACAGGTAGGTCTGAGGCCACAAACTAGCACATATGTAGGATGAAAAAGTCTAGACATCTAATGTACCCTATGAGAATTATAGTTAATAAAATTGTACTGTGTATGGTATTCATGCTGAATGAGTAGATTTTAGCTGCTCTTGCCATAAAAATTTTAAAAAGGGTAAATGTGAGATGATGGATAGATGGATATGTTAATTTGATTCACTATAATAACCTTTCCACTATCTACGTGTGTCCCATAACATCATGTTGTATATCTTAAGTATACACAACAGAATTTATTTAAAAACTCCCAAAGGAGCAAGAAGTGAGATTTTAAACAAGGCTTTGAGCAATGGAGAGGCAATGAGATTTCCCAGCTGAACAAGGTGACTCAGTTTTGCAGCATAGATCAGATTAAAGTTTAGACCTCCTAGTCAAGGTAGTCACTATTAATTTAGAAAAAGAGGACATGAAATTAAATAGATGATAATTATGACTAGGAAAAAACCTGGGGTCCAGTTGCATGAACTTACGAGAATAAATACATAAGAAATCTAAGTTTTGAGGGACTTAAATTGCCAAAAACAAAAAACAAAACAAAACAAAACTCATAAGTATGACTCTTAGGTGAGCCTTAAAACAGCCTTTGGTAAGGAAATGGGCTGCAAACATTGCTTGGCTTTCAAGAGAGCAAACTCCTCAACATCCACTTTCAATGTGGCCAAGGAAGATAAAAGAAAGCAATTTTCCCAGAAGATGGAGCCAAGAAGATAGAGAAATGACATCAGTGATATCAGGACCTCATGGAAGAATCCAGCTTTTAGGCCATCAGTTTGCCCCAGTCTCAGAATTACTTATTATATTTGGAAAAAACTGTACACTATTCTGTTGGGGTCACAGTGAGTCAGTGGACTCACTCTAGTTGAGAAGGTCATTGTATAGGTCAAATAAAGGCTTCCAAAAATATTAAGTTTTAATTCCTGGAACTTGTAAATGTTGTTTTATTTGGAAAAAGTGTCTTTGCAGATGTAATGAAGTTAAAAACCTCTAGATGGGGAGATTATTCTGGATTATCTGAGTGGGCCCTAAACACCATCATATGCACTTTTATAAGAAAGAAGTAGAGAGAGATTTGATACAACAGAGGAGGTGGCAATGGGAAGACAGGGACAGAGATTAGAGAGATGTGGCCACAAGCTGAGGAATGTGAGCAGCCACCCAAACCTGGAAGAGACAAGGAGGATTCTTCCCCAGTGCCTTCCAAGGGAGTGCAGCTTTACCAACACCTTGATTTCAGACCAGTGAAACTGATTTCAAACTTCTGGTGACTACACGGTGAGAGAATAAATGTTGTTTTAAGCCACAAAGGTTTGTAGTAATTTTTGTCACAGCAGCCACAGAGCAAAACACTCACACATTCAAAAGACATAGTAATAATCTGCCCTGTTCTGAGTGCTGTGAAAATGCAGCAAGACTTGTGATTCCCTGGCTTGTTTACAAATTGGTAAATTTGTGCCCTGATAAGTATATATGAAATCAAAACAAAGAAAAAAATCCTAAATAAGATCCAATGATGTTTTGTTCCCTATTTTATGGCAAGTTTTGAAGTTACAGCAGTGAGAAAGGGCAGAAAATACCGTTGTAGAGCCACCTTCACTTAAAAAAACTCCTTTGCTATTAGAAACTGGAAATATCTTTATCTTTGTTTCCAATTCTAAAACAATGAGTTTTGATTACAGAACTTAAAACTGAAAAAGCAGAATATTAACATTTCCCCCAACTCATCAGTGTCATCAGTGTTAATAATGTTTTTGTTTCACGTTTTAAAATCTCAAAATATTTGTATATTAACAATAAAAATATAGCATGCTACTTTTTGGTAACTTGCTTTTCTTCATAAATCCATAGATAACTTTCTATAGCAGTATAGATAGCTCTGTCTTCTTCTTTTTTTATTTTTTATTTTTGAGACAGAGTCTTGTTCCATCACCCAGGCTAGAGTGCAGTGGTGCAATCTCGGCTCACTGCAACCTCCACCTCCCAGTTCAAGCAATTCTGCCTCAGCCTCCCAGGTAACTGGGATTACAGGCACCTGCCATCATGCCAGGCTATTTTTTTTTTTTTTTTTTTTTTTTTGCATTTTTAGTAGAAACAGGGTTTCGCCGTGTTGGCCTGCCTGGTCTCGAACTCCTGACCCCAGGTGATCCACCAGCCTCGGTCTCCCAAAGTGCTGGGATTACAGGTGTGAGCCACTGTGCTCATCCTGCCTTCTTCTTTATTGGTCTATATCATTCCTTTATATGGATATGGTATAATTTATTTATTATTATTATTGTTATTTTTGAGATGGAGTCTTGGTCTGTTACCCAGGATGGAATGCAATGAATGGCGTGACCTCGGCTCATTGCAATCTCCACCTCCTGGGTTCAAGTGATTCTCCTGCCTTAGCCTCCTGAGTAGCTGGGATTACAGGCACGCACCACCACATCTGGCTAATTTTTGTAATTTTAGTAGAGATGGGGTTTCACCATGTTAGCCAGGATGGTCTCAATCTCCTGACCTCGTGATCTGCCCGCCTCAGCCTCCCAAAGTGCTGGGATTGCAGGTGTGAGCCACTGAGCCCAGCCAGTATAATTTATTTACGTAAGTACTCAATGATGGATGCTTCAGGTGTCCCTATTATTTTGGTGCAAATAGTAATACATTTTTCTTTTAATACAGATTTAATGGTCTCTGTTTTGCTAAACTCAAAAGTACTTTCAGTTTAAAGAATACTTATTTTGCAAAGGTACTAAACGTTAGAAGTAAGTTTTAAAATACATTAGGCACTTATATTAATTGCATTACAATTATTTAGAAGTTTTGATGAATAACCATAGTAATGGTTACTTTTTTAGACATCTGACTACCCAGTGGTGCTCTCTTTAGAAAATCACTGCTCCCCTGCCCAGCAAGAAATAATGGCAGACAATTTGCAGACGACTTTTGGAGAGTCCTTGCTTTCTGATATGCTTGCTGATTTTCCTGATACTCTACCATCACCAGAGGTAACATTTTTTTCTGAGTAACTCAGGTTAAGAAAAAAGTCCATGAAAACATGTCACTATTATATTGGCCCATGAAACTGGGCTAGAGACCAGTGAAAATACTTAGTTTTGGTCATGTATAGAGGGTTATCTTTGCAATGTTGCCTAGGGAATGTTCTCATGAACATTTAGGTGAATATATTTCAATAAAAATTATATATATATGTATGTGTGTGTGTGTGTGTGTGTGTGTGTGTATATATGTAAAACCCACATTTTGATTGTGTCTCCTACCCCATGGGTCCACAATATCAAAGTAAATAGTATTAGGGACCAGAAATTTAGTATGTTTCACAGGCAAAAGTTCTAGAAAGTGGCAAAAGTTCTAGACTATAAATAGAGTCAGTACCCAATATCTTAACAGCTGGGTAGCAGGTTCCCCTTTAAAAAATCTACTCTTTTCAATTTCCCTGTCTCTATGACCCTTTCCATCTTAATCAGAGCATACTGAAGTATTTGCTTTGAAAAATCATGTCCACATCTACCATCAGGACTTCATTTCTCTCTCAGGCTGTCTCTTTATTACTCCCTTTCTATGGCCGGCTATGGCAGCGGCTCGTGCCTGTAATCCCAGCACCTTGGGAGGCCAAGGCAGGCAGATACCCTGAGGTCAGGAGTTCGAAACCAGCCTTGAGCAACATGGTGAAACCCTGTCTCTACTAGAAATACAAAAATTAGCTGGGTGTCGTGGCATCCACCTGTAATCCCAGCTACTAGGAAGGCTGAGGCAGGAGAATCACTTGAATCCGGGAGGCGGAGGTTACAGTGAGCCAAGATTGAGCTATTGCACTCCAGCCCTAGGCAACAAGAGCGAAACTCTGTCTTGTTGAAAAAAAAAGAAAGAAATTACTCCCTCTCACAGCCCGAATTTTCATTTTCTTGTCTCCTTGCAACCTATTCAGTCCCTCTTTCTCTTCTAATTACTTCACAGGAAAGTTCCCATCACATTCATCAAATATTTTCTTACTGATAAATTATAATGCTCCTCTTCTAGTCTTCATCTGGTTGTCCTCTCATTAACATTCAATGCTGTGGACCTCCACTTCCTTTCCCTGAAACACTTTCTGTTATAACACCACATTCTTTAGCCTTCCCTCACTCCTCTTTGACCACTCCTGCTTAGTTTTCTTTGCTGGGCCTTTCTCCCTATCCCAAATTTTATCAGATTATAAATAAACTTTCTTGTTGGTGAATAGTGTTGTCTAACAGCAAATAGTTTGATTCTGACATGTCTTCATTTTTGCTAGACATAACAATATTTTTGTAATATTTGAGTATTTCCTTCTATATTTTCCTTATTATTATTATTTTTGCCAACCTAAAATAATCAAAAGGCTCGGGATTCAGTGAGAAAAATTTATTCCAGTGCAAAGTGTGAGGGTAACTTTCTGGGACACACAGACAGCAAAGAACGGTAGTCATTGCTCCTGGTGTGGAAAACAGTGAAAATTGGTTTTTACAGACAAAAACAGAGGCGCAGAACAGAAGTACAGTATTTCCCCTACAATGGCTAACATACAGATTTAAGATTTGATTGGCTACTGTTGATTACACTCTAAGGGGTTTGCTCAACATTCTATTGTAAAGAGGTAATCACAAGGTTCTCTATCTCTAAGGTCATTTAGTCTAGGTTGGAATAAAGAATGGGGAGTCTGGTCAATGTATAACATCTCAACACAAAGGTCAGAAAGCAATGGTCATGCACCATTGAAGAAAAACAGCTGTATTACATGACTAAGTTTCCAGGCTGAACTTTTCTCCTTGGCATAATAAATCTGGAAGATCCTCAAATTTTACTTCTTTTAACATTTTATTTAAATCAGTGAAAAATTTTCAAGTGAAAGTGTTGTGACACCAGTGACAAGAAATATAGGGCTGATGATAGAACTGAGACAGAAAAAAATCAATTGTGTGATAAATGGAAAGACCACAGTTCTTCTGCCGTGTAAGAATGCCTACAGACCCAATGTGTTCAGTGGTGGCAGAAAAGAAATAGTAAAGAATTTTGCAAAGTGCTGGAAACATAGCATCAAAGATTAAACCCAAATTATAGCCCAATTCTGGAACTTACAATAATTTTAAACTTTCTTGGAAGAGAATCCCACTTCCTATCATATATGAATCTATTTTTCTAGCATTCCCATACATAGCTTTCATTCAAATTTTGGCTCCATACTAAAGCAGGGAGGTGCTTTTCAATGAGTAAATGAAGAATTAAAGTTACTGTGTAATACCAGCTACTCAGGAGGCTGAGGCAGGAGAATCTCTTGAACCTGGGAGGTGGCGGTTGCAGTGAGCTGAGATCATGTCACTGCACTCCATCCTGGGTGACAGAGTGAGGTTCCACCTCAAAAAAAAAAAAAAAAAAAAAAAAAAAAAAAAAAAAAAAAAATTACCTAATCCTACAATATTCAGTCTTTGTGTGTAAAATAATTGCCTAGAGACTTGTTAAGGAGGCCCAATTCCAGCCCACAATTCAAGATTCTGATTCCCTCATTTTGAAGCAGAGCCTAGGAATTTGTCTCTTTCCCAAGCGCTTCTGATAATATTCTTGATGCATGGGATTGCAGAATGCATTTGGTAAACTCTGCAGTAGAGAGTATTATAACGGTCATTGTGAAAGAGGGAAGACCCGAGATGATGGAATAATTTGAATGGATACCTGAGGATGACAAAATGGAAAGAAAAATCAAAGCTCCTTGGAGAAAAGGACTTGACTTTATACCCTAGATTTCAGCATTGTATATAACAGAGCTGGCACTTAAATGTACTTGTTAAATTAAGGAAATTTGGAAAGACCACAGTTCTTTTGCTGCATAAGAATGCCCACAGATTCAATGTGTTCAATTGTGGCAGAAAAGAAATAGTAAAGAATTTTGCAAAGTACTGGAAACATAGCATCAAAGATTAAACCCGAATCATTGCCAAGTGAAAGAATGGAACCAGAAGTCTTCGAATTTAGAACAAGTGACACTGATGGTAAATTTTGCTATGCTTCTAAATTTGATGGACAGAAAATATTAAGTTAATGATGCTTATGTGTAATACATAAGAAATTTGAAGAGTCTTTATTACAAATCTTTAATTTAGTCTATACTAGATGCCAGACACTTATGATAGACATTTTAATATACCTGATTTCATTCAATACTTTTTAATGTTGGATAAGAAAATGATGAGCTGAAGCACTTACTACCAGAAGTTGTAACATTTTAATTGCAATATCATGGTAAGTATTTATATATATACTTTTCACATATTTCAAATTTTTGGAATAGTACCAACTTGTGAAATATAAAAGAAATGGCATATGGTAAGTCTCAATCATAACAGGCTTATTTTTTGGTGAATTACAATCAATAACATTGTATCACTATATTCATTCCTTTACTGAGGTGTGAATAGGGGTATGGGAAAAAATGGAGTTCTTACATATCTTTTTACTGTAGGCTAATTGGAAATATAGTGAAACACTTTTCAATGACTGTTACTATGCAAATTGACTTGTAAATGTGTAATTGTTATCTCTCAAATTGTTTCCTTAGGCACTAAAATTCAAAGTGTTAGTTAAAAATAAGAAAATAGGAACCTTAAAGGAAACCCATGAAAGAAAAGGTTCTGATAAGCGTGGTAAGGTGGAGGAATGGGAAGAAGAAGTGGCAGATCTGGAGGAGGAGGAGGAGGAGGAGGAGAAATTCAAAGAATCAGAAATATTCGAATCTGTTGTAGGAGACAATCAAGACAAGGAAACAGGGGTAAAAAAGTTATCTGGAGTAACGCTTTTCAAGAAAAAGAAGGTGAGGTGGTGCTTTGTGAAAATCTTACAAATGATTGGAAAGTTTTCTAATTTTATTCTTGGTGGAGAATTTTTTTAAATTCTGGAGAAAAATAATTTTCCTTCTTATAAAAACTTTAGTCTATCATTTACAATTTACTTTGAAAATATTGGTGGTGGAAGATGAATTTTTTAAATTGTCTCTTTTCTTATGTTAGCTACTTAATTTTTTTTTTCTCTAGGCTGAGCACGGTGGCTGGCTCATGCCTGTAATCCCAGCACTTTGGGAGGCCCAAGTGCGCAGATCATATGAGGTCAGGAGTTTGAGATCAGCCTGGCCAACATGGTGAAATCCCCTCTCTGCTAAAAATACAAAAATTAGCCAGGCATGGTGGCGCATGCCTGTAGTTCCAGTTACTTGGGACGCTGAAGCAGGAGAATTGCTTGAACCTGGGAGGCGGAGGTTTCAGTGAGCCAAGATGGCGCCATTGCACTCCAGCCTGAGCAACAGAATGAGATCCTGTTTCCAAAAAAAAAAAAAAAAAATTTTCTATAGTTGATAAATATTATGCACTCTTATGAAGCAGGCTATATGCAAAGTGCAACAGATGCAGAGATACACAACATAATTTCCCTGGTCTCAAGTAAAGACAAAGACAAGATTCAATGTTTATAATACATAGTGTTATATGTACACACATTAACATGATGAAACAAAATATATTAGGTTGCATGTGACACAAAACCAATCCAGCTGGTTTAAATAAAATGATAATTAATTAATTGACCTATATAGATGAAAAGTTCAGTGAAAGGGATTTTAATTTCAAAAATGACTTGATATAGTGTCTCACATAAAGTCAGCAGAACTTCAGTTCTTTCTCCAGCTTTGCTCCCACTCTTTCTGTGTTGGTGCATGGCTATTGCAAGGATTCAGCTTTATATCATTTCAGCTTCAAATCCAGTGGAATGCCTATCTCTTGGCAGAGCAAGCAATTTTTTTTTTTGTACGTTGGCTCTGATCTGGTTATGCGCAGATCCCTGAACCAATTACTGTTGCTAGGGGAATGCACAGCTCTGTTTAGCTGGCCCAATCTGCGTGACTCATACTTGGATTGAGCATGAGCAAGAAATGTTTTCCCAAAACAAAACTTGGGAAATGGCTAAAAAGAAGTGTAAAAGAAATAGACGCCGGGTTGTGAAATGGCAAATGTTTGCTATGTAATAGAAGTCATTTCAGTATAAATTTATTCATGACGAAAATTCCTAAGTTTATAAAATTTATGGGAATACATTGAGATCTTTAGGAAAAAATAAATAGTAATAATTGTGGTCCTCAATACTTATTACATTGATCATGATTTTTAAATTTAAACCAGCTTATATTCACATTAAATATTTTTGTTCCCAAAAATAATCACATTGAGTTAATCCAAATGGTGTTTGAGGAGATAATCTTATGAAAAGATGAAAATCATTTATTTGAAAGTGTATTTTCTTTACTAGAAAAAGACTTTTTTCCCAATGATTAGCATAAAAATGTAAAATTACTGCATTTTATTTTTAGACCAGGAAGTTAAAAATTGCTCTGGCCTTATCTGATCTTGTCATTTATACTAAAGCTGAGAAGTTCAAAAGCTTTCAACATTCAAGATTATATCAGCAATTTAATGAAAATAATTCTATTGGGGAGACACAAGCCCGAAAACTTTCAAAATTGAGAGGTAAATTTTTGTGACTCAAATAGATGAAACGTTTAAATGAGTTAGAGTCACTGCTAAGGTGTTAAGACTGCTCAGTGATATTTATAAAATGTATATTCTCATAAAATTTCAACATATTTAACATAATTTAGAATGGGGTTACATACCTCAGGTCTCATTAAGTTTTATTTCACAGAACTTAGCCATTAATTAACTTTCCTAAGCCAAGACATTTTGATTGAGAATGTCCGATGTGGCCACATTTGTTGAGGGCTGGGGGACTGTGGTGAGCAGTTTGTATAGAAGAGCAGTGGCAGGGCTGCAGAGGGAGGCAGAGCCAAATTAGAAGGCTTGAACTTTGTCCTGGAAGCGAAGGTGAGCAGGAGAAAATTGAACTCTCAGGAGCGGCATGATCCACTGTATTTCTAAACGATACCTCTGATAGCAGCCAAAGGGTGAGACTGCAGGTAGGAAGGTGGTAACAAAGATTTATGGCAGTGAGAGCGGAGACAGGATGAACTTTGTGGATTTAATAGGCATTGAAGAAGGTAGGGTTAATCAGACTTGGAGGCTCTATGTCTATGGTGAAAGAGGAAGAAATGGCGCCCAGGCTGAACTACCAGATGGCTGTGCAGAGTGTGCATGCCCCACTGCACACCTTCAGAGGTGCCATCTGTCTCTGCATCTTCTTTTCACTGCCCCTAATTCTAAAACTGAGGTGGTTTGGCAGTGCCCAAAGTAAAACGGGGCCTGAGAAAGAGAATGGGAAGAAGCCTCATTATGTGAGGAATGTCCCAAACTTAAAAGGGAATGAGCAACTAACTTAACAGCCAGGTGACTCTGCTGATTCTCAAAAAATGGCAATTGTTTTTAGTAGTAGGGGTATGGGGGAAGTAGGGACAATAATGGATACAAAACTATAGCTGGATAGAATAAATAAGACATAGTATTTGATAGTGCAACAGTTGACCACAGTCAACAATAGTTTATAGTACATTTAAAAATAACTAAAAGAGTATAATTGGATTGTTTGTTACACAAAGGATAAATGCTTGGGGTGATGGATACACCACTTACCCTGATGTGTTACTAGACATTGTATGTCTGTATCAAAATATCTCATGTACTCCATAAATATATTTATCTATGTACCCCCAAAAATTAAAAGTTAAAAAAATGCAATCTACTATCTTGTGTAGAAATACCACAGAAGGAAAATAAGCACCCACAATTGACTTGAGAAAAGTTGCTGGCTACTTGGGATTGCAGATTCTGATAGATTTAATGATTAACCTTATTGGGCTGGTCATAGATATCCAAAGATTTTGAAGTATACTTTAGTTAATGTTCTCTAACTATCTATTAGAGAGATCCTGGATTTTTTAAAGGCTCTTTTGCTTTTTTAACCTGTGTGTTGTAACCAAAAATTAATTCAGTAGGTCTGGACTACAGTTAAATAATAGAATAGAATAGGATAGAGTAGTGTAGAGTAGAATGGAATGGGATGGAATGGAATGGAATGGAGTAGAATAGAATAGAATAGAATGGAATAGAATAGAATAGAATAGAAGTGTATTGCAAGCAGTAATAATAAATATGGTTTTATGAAGCAATTGTGCATGGTGCATGTGTGTTAGATTGTAAAATATATTTCTTACTGTAAGGTATGGTTAAGAGAGTTTGAATGACATGCTTTACTGGTCTTTGTTCCTTTAAATTATTGAATTTTTGTTGTTGTTCATGAGGACAGGACCTGAGGGCACAGCATAAATAAATTATAATTTTATTAATCTCATCAGATTAAATACTTGCAAACATTTTGGAAAAGAATTGGATAGTTCTGAGTAGAGTCAAAGTATAGCATTACCATTTCTTTGAACGGGTATAGAGCATTTTTCTTGTTTAATAGTAAATAATCAATGTTAATAGTAAATAATGATATCAGCAAAGGTTTAACTTCAAGGATGTCAATTATTATTATAAACATAATAAAAATTAAAAATAATGTTGTAGATGAGTATTATTGAAATGAAATGATGTTCACATTATTTTACTAAATAAAAATAGTGGTTTGTGAAAGGGAACAAACATTATCATTCAACTAAAAATTACACACATACAAAAGAATGGGAAGATATATATCAAGGAGTTATCAGTGGTTATCAATTGGATGATGACATATGGTTTTATTTGTTCTTTGATGTCCTCCTATTTTACAGTAAACATGAACTGCATTTGTAATAACAAACATGTTTAATTTCTAAAGGATAATCTCAGAAATAGCAAAATCATATTATGTTATGAGACCTTAGTCATCATTCACATTTATTACTTTGTAAATGAGAAACATTAAGACTTAGAAGAGTATGTGTTTTGCCTAAGGACAGACATCTGTTAGGAGTAGATAAAGGAGCATGAAACTTGGACACCTATGCTGCATTTATACACACATGGTTTCAAAATAAACTTTCTCTCAAGGAATGTATAACTTTTGAAAATAAATATTGATAAAATTAACTGTAATTTTTAATTTGACAGTGCTTCCTAAATAATAGTATTTAGGGTGAGGGGAGAGGTGATTCTATTCTAGTTGGATTAGCAAATGAAGTGAGCCATAAGCAAAAGGCTTTCTCCCATCACGAGTCACTATATCAGCAGGAATGGTTGCAGAAACAGGATCTGTTTAATGAAAAAAGAGAAACCTTGGAGAAGCATGAAATCTGTGTTCAAAAATTTGAAGAAGGTGCCAAATGGTAAAGGGTTTAAGTTAGTTTGAATCTCAAGTGACTTAAATATTATATAGACAAGAAGAAACACAAAGAATATGTACAGAAACTGTGTATAGATTCTGTACAGACTGTGTGTGTATGTTTGTTCTTGTTTGTGTGTATACTTCAAGTACATAGAGATTATCCCAGTAAGAACGACATTTGAAATAATTAAAAGCATTGAGAGTTTTTCAATGGAGAGATGTAAACACAGATTGAATAAACTTTGGGGGAAGATGCTGGAGTGAAGGGATTGGAAGTTGAACTGGACAACTTTGGGGTGGCCTTTAAATCCTGAGAACCTGTGAAATGTTCAGTAGGATTAATTTAGCTGGAATCATATAGCTTTGTGTGACTTTGATGTGATTCTGTCCTACTGTGAAAATCAAAGTGGAAAAATAATGAGGGAAAATGCTGCTTTTGTTTTGAAAAATGAATGGGTTATATTTTGGAGTTTTATGTATTCTTACAACAAAGTGAAATAATTTGGATGTAAAAATTATATAAATTAATCAATTTTTTCCTTGAATGATCAGTGTACATAAATTTTATGATAAAATTGTCACTAACATCTAAATAATAGTGAATTATACTGTAAACATAAAGGCATATATTTTGATATTCATGAATTGCAAATTTTTGCCAAGACAATACATACCAAAATTGTTGAAACTATTATAGAATTATATGATATATATATACACATATATATAAGAAATAGTGGCTTATTTAATTTATTTGAATTCTTTCACAATGTTTTAACAATTCTTTTTCAGCCCATGAGTTTATTTTTCACACCAGGAAGTTCATTACCAGAATATATCCCAAAGCAACAAGAGCAGACTCTTCTAATTTTAATCCCCAAGAATTTTGGAATATAGGTTGTCAAATGGGTATGTTATATAGGATATTGAGTTGTTTGCAAAACTAACATAAAATGAATTCATTTTATGAATGTATGAAAACTCGCGAAAAGGGCTTTCTGTAAAAGATTTTTTGACCTGGGGGTTTTGAGGTCAGGCACTAACGGTGAGTCATGTGTTTTAAGAGTTGAAGTCATTCCTATCTGGGTTGAAGCGGGGTAAATCTCGGTGATTGTTCGGGGGAATGGTGGTTAAATTCATGAGGAGTTAATATGAGGCATGTGAAGTGGAGGAAGGGAACAAGTAAACCCAAATGGACATTGAAGATCAAATTCCTTTGCTTGAGATATGCTCAAGGCCTCTTCAAATGAAGTGACCTCTATCATTTATACTTTACATGAGCTTCTACATTCACAGTTTTGAAAAGTGAATAAGATTGCATAACCTGGTTATTTGCCCTCACCAGACCCTTATTCCAAACTGCACAGCTAGTACAGCACTGCACTAACCTGTCAGAAAGTACCAGGTGTCACCCTTCTTCTACCGGATTGTGGCAAGGCCTGTAGGTGTGAGGAGGTGTGGGGATATTGGAGCTGGGTGGAGGGCAGAGTGTGGTACTCTCTACGGTGGCTATTTACTAGCCTATATCGAGGTGCTTCCATATTTTAACGACAATTATTGCTTTGCCTGTTTCTCACTTTCTCCTCAAGTGACAATGGCATCTCATGGACTTGAAAATGTGTGACATAGTTGGTGTCTTTACCTCTTGCATTTAATGCACTGATACTCTTTATTCTGATATTCCTTAAGTGTTACCTGACATGAACATTGTTATTCTATAATGTATACTGGATACCATTTTGATTTCTTTACTCAAAGCTGTGTAGTAATTTACTTACAGATTAAACTTTGGAACTCATCAATATACCTTAATATAGACATGGCAGGAGAAAGAGTTTTAAAAATCATGAATTATTAGGCTGATGATGCTTGCTCATAGAATATTTGGGGATATAGAATCCATGATTAGATTTCAGTAAATGGTTTGTGTTCCTTTATTTGTATTCTCTATTACCTGACAATGTCAAAACTTCTTTCTTATAGTGGCTTTAAATTTCCAGACCCCTGGTCTGCCTATGGATCTGCAAAATGGGAAATTTTTGGATAATGGTGGTTCTGGATATATTTTGAAACCACATTTCTTAAGAGAGAGTGAATCATACTTTAACCCAAGTGACATAAAAGAGAGTATGCCAATTACACTTACAATAAGGGTAAGATTAATAACTTTTCTTTTATATTTTTTGGTTATTATATAAACTAGATAGTGTACATTAGTATTTTGAATTCCACTGATTTGCTTTAATTTCTTTTGTATTTCTGTTAATCTTTTTAGGTACTATATGTGGGTAGTATTTCAGTATCCTTCTATATCTGAAAAATGTCTTCCTGTTGCAATTTTACACGAATCATTATCTGCCTGTGAATAGACATATTGAAGCTAAAACCTTCTCCTCTCCAAGTTCTACTTAGATGATTTCATTGTATTTAGGCATTTCATATTGTGAGATACAGGTCTCAGTTCAGCCCACTAATTACCTTGTGGGCATGTTACTTTTTCTTGCCTTTGATGAATTTTACCTGGAAATTTTAGGAGCCCTTGTCTTTTCCTCAGTCTCCACGATTAGGCTTTTGTAGGTCAGGATTTCCCCCCCACCCCATATGCCTGTTAATATCATTTGATTACTTAAAAAGAAAAATTACCCATATGTCTTTCTCCAATATCTGTCTTCTGTGTCTATTAATTTGTGTGAACTTTAACATATTCTCTTTTCCTCTGCATGTTGGAGAGCTTTTAACATTTTTTCTTTATGTTGATGATTCAAAGTCTGCATTTGATTTTGTTCTTTACTGATTTTAATGTAGAAATGATTTTTTTTAACCTGCATTATTAGTCCTCCTGCCCCATTGTGGTTGACTTCATATTGCTTCCTTTTTATTTCTGTCTGTATCCCACCTAGCACCCTTCCTCCAGACTGTTGTCTTATTATTTTATCTTTTATTTTGTTACATCCTGTAAAACCTTAAGGAGCATAAAAGCCATTGTCTAAGATTTGTTTCCACTAGTAAAGACTTTTCAAAACGTCTTTCTTATTCCTCTCCAACCTAAGTGCTATGTTTATTTTCTTTTTAAAATGTCACCAAATCTTTTGAAAAACCTCTAGTTGCTTTTTCTCTCCACTTACTTATGAGCAATTCTGTTTTAGGCTCTAACTGTACTTGTTGTTTGCAAATCAATAGAGTGGGTACCGTTTCATTGGTCCCTCTTTCCATTTAACTAGTTACTCCCAGAACTGTATAAATCATCTCAGATCCTACAGGAGTTTTGTAAGTACTTGTGTTTCTGTCCCTGGCCAGCACGTCATTACTTAGTGAAGCTCTGCCAGCTGCTGGGCGCTCCCCTGCTCCCTATTACCTGGCTGTTAGAGTGCAGGAAATGCTGGGGTCTCCAGAATGTGCTTCTCCTGCGACTCTTCTTCCTAGCTCAGCTCCTTTTTCCACCATCGTAATACCACAGGATTTGGGAAACTATGCTCCACGTCTACTTCAGGCCCTAGCCACTTTATCTCAGCTGAGATGGGAGGATTGAGAGCTTTTTCCAGAAATTTATGTGGAAAGTATAGCAAAGATGAACAGGACTAGAAAGATCCTGACCATTGCAGGAAACAGTGCCTGTGAAGTATGTAGCTGACTTTTGCATTGTCTGTCAAGGAGTTTGTGACTCTCATGTAGAAGCATTTAGTGGATAGGCAGCAATTGCCTACAACACTGGATTGTTAATACTCCTTCAAGGTCTGGCAAAGTATTAACCACTGACTTCACTTTACAATGCTATTATAATGTTGGCATCCTTTTTGTAGTGATCTGGTAAAAAGAAATGGCAAATCAGCCACTTTGAAGATCCCTTCCATTTGTACACACATCGCTTTTCTGTGCTCTGGGACTGGACTCTCCTTTTACCCCCTACCTTCCAAGTGATTGCCATTTTTATGTGTGGCTTCCTCTTTCTCTGCTTTCCCTTAAGATATTTATGTTAATTAAAGTCTTTCCTTACACCTTGTCTCAAACTATTCTCCTTGGGTTCTGTTACATAAACATTCACAGTTTCACCATCAACAATGCTCAAGTCTTTAATTGGACCTCATTTTGGGAATCTAAAGGCATATGTTAGCTCACTGAGCAGCCTTACCTCCTTAATCACCATTCTGTCAAACTTAAAATATTAAAAGCTTGAACATCCCTTCCTAATCAAATCTACTTCTACTCTTATTTAAATGTCAACAAATGGCCCCATTCTTCCACTCTGCTCAGACAAGAAAATTGGGAGTCATTCTCATCTTCCACATCTCCTTCATGTCCCACATCCAGACCAATTTTAAATTCTGCTGATTCTATTCCTAAATGTTTTCCCTCTCCATTCTCTTGATCTGACCTACTTTGGTGCTGTCCTGTATCAGGAATTTACTACCTGTCATCAGGTTTATTTCTTTGGCTTCCTGATGGTTTCAGGTAGCCGGTCTCAGTCCTCCATATCTATTCTCCACAAGTTGATCAGAGAGATTTTGCTACAGTGCTAATGTTATCATGCATACATAATATTTATTTGTGTCTCTTGACTACTTTCTTGGTTAGGCCTTGGCCTACTTGCATAGTCCTATCTCTCATCACTTCTAGCCTTTCACTCTGTTCTACAACCATATGGAACTAGGATCCTTCTCGAACCATGACTCACCTCCACGAATTGCGTATGCTGTTCCTGTAACTAGAACATTCTTTCAATCTTACCTGCCTATTGCATTTTGAATCACTTTTCAAGATTTAGGAATCATGTCTTTTTGAAAGCATTTTCCTAGGCTAGGTTAGCTGTGCTTCTTTTCGTAGCTTTGCTGTTTTCCGTAACACCCTCTGCATGCATACATTATGGCATCTATCATAAGGTTTTATAATTGTTTATTTACTTGTTACTTGTCTTCTCCATTTGTCTGAGGATTCCTTAAGGATTAGAGATGTGGGCCTGGCGTGGTGGCTCATGTCTGTAATCCTAGCACTTTAGGAGGTTGAGGTGGGTGGATCACCTGAGTTAGGAGTTCAAGACCAGCCTGGCTAACATGGTGAAACCCCGTTTCTACTAAAAATACAAAAAGTTAGCTGGGTGTGGTGGTGTGCAACTGTAATCCCAGCTACTCAGGAGGCTGAGGCAAGAGAATTGCTTGAGCCCAGGAAGCAGAGGTTGCAGTGAGCCAAGGTCACACCATTGCACTCCAGCTTGGGTAGCAAGAGCCAAAGTTCATCTCAAAACAACAACAGCAACAACCAAAACCAAAAACAGATGTGTTTTGTTCCATTCTTATTTGTGCCTGATACAAAGTATATTTTCAATATATCTAGGTTCATTAAACGAATACATTTTTTTTCCTGTTAAGAATAGTAAAGAGAACATAGGTGCTCTTTTATTGAGAAAGTGAAGGCGGAAGGCAGCTAGTGTGCACAAATGCTCACAAATGCCATGTTTGTATTCTGAGGAGTCTCTTGTTGAAGTGTAAGTGGCATAGAGAGTTAATGATTCTCCAGGAAGCTGCTGCCATGGCCATGTGGGTCTTTCTCTGTTACCTCTATCACTCTGGGGAGTTTTGTGATTATGACTTGCTCAGATAGTAGAGGGCATGATTTGGGGATCAGAGGGCCTAGTTTTATTATAAGCTTCCTTAAGTTTTATTATAAGCTTCCAAATGTTGATGAAGGCATTTGACGTTTCTGCTTTACTCTTTGTCATCTGCAATCTGAGAGTTTTGGTTTAGGCCAGTTATTTTCAAGTTTATAAAAACTACAGGACTGCTTTCTAAATCCAAAATCTTATGGATAAGGCCAATGGATAACAACAGAGTTGACCATTGAGGGCTTTTTATTTGACATTCCTTCCTCTGCACCAGCTCCTGTACAAACAAATTTGTAAATTTGTTTATAAATTATTTGATCAATACTCCCCGAACCAGGGTTCTCCAATCTTTTGGCTTCCCTGGGCCACATTGGAGGAAGAGGAATTATCTTGGGCCACACATAAAATACACTAACACTAATGATAGCTGATGAGCTTTAAAAAATGCCAAAAAAAAAACTTATAATGTTTTAAGAAAGTTTACGAATTTGTGTTGGGCCACGTTCAAAGCCACCATGGGCCACATGTGGCCCGCAGGTTGGACAAGCTTGCCCTAAATTCTCATTCAGTTCTCATATTCAATTATGTTTTTCAAAATTCGATAATTTTTTTTTTTTTTCTTTCTGGAATGAGGTACACCGAGCTGAACCTACTCCATTTTGGGAAGAGTCTATTACCTGCAGAATGATATTTAGCAGATCTGTAGTGGTATTGGGACCAGTGTACTACATGTTTATGGCCATTGTTCTTTCTAATTACTTTCTAAATAATTATGCTGATGCCCATTCCATACTGATTGCTAAACAGTTGCACAGGCATACTGGCTTCTAGCTAATGCCATAATCTATGGAATTAGGAAAAGTTACACATTAGTGGTTTTTCTTTTCCTTTCTTTTCTCTTCTCCTCCTTCTCTCCCTCTTTCCTTCCCTCTTTTCCTTCCTTTATTCCTTTATAAGGGAAAATTACACATTAGTCATTTTTTCTTTTCCTTTCTTTTCTCTTCTCCTCCTTCTCTCCATCCTACCTTCCCTCTTTTTTTTTCCCTTTATTCCTTTATAATCAAACTTAATTATATATTTGTTTCTCTTTATGTAACTTTCAGAAATTGGAATTATGCCTCAATTTTTATAACTGCATTTTTAGGCTTACATCTTCTATCTCTTAGCCTAAGTTAGTACATTTCAAATATAGTTTTCTTGTGTGCTCATTTTGTTCCTTAAATTATAACAAATTTTTGCTTCAACAATTAGCTTGGCAAATAAAAGTTTAAATGCAATTATTATTAATTACTTTGTTAAGATTTTTTTTGATACCCAGTCCCTAATATACGTATGAAATAATTGATTTTGTCAAACTCAGAAAGTGCTATCATGGGAAGTTAAATGGTACATTGTTTTAAAAGTAATATTTATATTGCTTTTAATTTTTCCAGCATATATATATATATATATATATATGAATTCAAAAATAGTACATGTTAACAGAGTAACTCAACCTGAATTCCCTAAAATGTGATCATAACAAATGATTTTAAAACAAAAATATGTGAATAAATCGAAAATTGTGGACATTGTGGACTTCACTATAATTTTGTACATATTCTTGGTGTTTATCTACTGATAACTGAGGATAAAATACTTAAATTTTAAAATTTGTATTATATTCCACTTTCAATCTTTGTGGGAACTGACTTAGAGTCCTTCAAGTTTTTGTAATACATAATTCAATTTTGAAATAAATGGTGATGCAACTTAATATCTTGCTAAATTCTTATATTTATATATATTTGTGCAGCTCATCAGTGGTATCCAGTTGCCTCTTACTCATTCATCATCTAACAAAGGTGATACGTTAGTAATTATAGAAGTTTTTGGTGTTCCAAATGATCAAATGAAGCAGCAGACTCGTGTAATTAAAAAAAATGGTGAGCTCCTAATATACCATATTGAACTTCTATTAGCCTTCTTGTTGGAAAGCTTACAAATTATATGTTGATAGAGTTTTGATACATATCTATTATTCATAAGACAAGGGTTTTCCATTATGTCCAAAATTAGCAAAATGTTATATGCAGCAAAAGCACTTTTATAATGATTAGGTTGTTTAGCTGTATTTTCAAATTATGAATACAGAAATGTATCTGACCTGCAAAATTATTGTTTAAAAAAATTTACCTCCTTTTTGTTTTGCCTCATGTCACTGAATTAAGAAGGCATTTTGACAGCCTCAAATCTACTTAGCTTCTAGCCTTTGTGTTAAATCAAAAATTTGTGATTTTTGACACAGCATATTATATATTTTTATAATGAATTATTTGAATTATTTTAGATTAAAAGTCTATGGCTTCTGAATCAGGCTAAGGATGCCATAGAAACCTACTGATAGAATATTTGGATAATTCAGTCATTTTTGCCACAAGGGAAGTGAAGAATGAAAGGAAAGAACTTTGGTAAGATTTTCATCATTCTGGCATGCTATGACATCTTACACAGTATAGTACTGGCATTGTCATTTCTTCTCTGAGGTTGAAATGACTAAGGAAATTAGAAAAGGATGGGTTTCTGGGATTGACCCCTGGTCAGGGTCACCTTGAAGGAGACATTGGAACTGATTCTTGAGTCTGGAATCTTCTTCAAGGGATATTCTCGAAGCAAAGTGGACTTCATTCCAGAGTCTAGAAATATGCTTCCAGCCAAATGGTACTGACAGAGGAGCAGACACAGTTTTCTTTTTCTTTTTCTTCTTGGATAATAATTTCTAACAATGCCCATAGTCTGCCTCCTTGGCACTCCCTTGAATACTTCCAGTGTGGTTTCTAGAGCGAAAGTCATGGAAAAAGATTTGGGAAGATTTTATTGCCTTATCCTATGTTATCAATGGGAAGGGATATTGATGATGACTTCCTGCCTCATTTGACACCCTTTAGAGTTGAAGGCACATTGCTATGGCTGTGTCCAGAGATAGTAACTGCTGATGTCATGAAGCTTATAATAATCTATCTCTTGTTCCCTCCATCCTCTACTTGGATCTTCATCACAAAATGCTTAGAAACTTAATTTATTCAATGCACCCCTTATAATACTATGATTCTAGAATTTGTATTACATCCTTGGATTTTATGGGAATATCCTTGCAGAAATTCAATTTGGTTCATCAAACATTACTAAGCCTCTGCTATGCTAAAAGCCTTGTGCTAAGTAGTAAAAGACTTAAAATCTGTTTATTAAGCAAATTCTTATATATGGACCAATTAACTATTCTATAGATAGTTCATAGTTCAGTGTGAAAGATGAGCTGTAAGTAAAATAATTATGATTTAGAGTAATTAGTGCTTCAAGGAGAGTACAAAGATTTGTACTGGAAGGGGGCACTTTTGGAGATGGTTCTTGGAGAATGAGTAGAATTTTTTAGAGTTTGGGGAAAAGGACATTTAAGACAGAAGCCATAATGTAAGTCCTAAACTATGAAGAAAATACAATTCAAACATACCAGAGACAGAACACATGAGTCCTAAAATATGAAGAAAACACAATTTAAACATGCTAGAGAAAAGCCAAGAAACTCACAATAGGTGGAATATAGGGTGCTTAAGAAAGATTAGTGAGAGATAAAATGAGAAAGTTATTTAGGAATGGTCATGGAAAATCTCAAAAGCCTTGCTAAGGTGTCAGGAACTTTCTTTTTTTCTAGAAAATGGATAAAATTCAGACTTTTTAAAGGGCTATAACAGAGTTCAGTGTTAGGTTTTTTTCCGCAGATTTGAGAAGAAGTATATGAGAGGGCAATGAGAAATACAAAGTAGAGTCAGGATAAAATGTCAGTGGTTAGAGGATATAAAAGTCATGGTGCAAAGGAGGTTATGGCAGTAGGAAAGGAATGGGGGGTGTAAGTGAGAAATACTGTGCAGAAGTCAATGTCCAGATGGCTGGACAAGAAGAATTTTAAGATGATTTAGCTAGACATGAGAGTCTGGGAGGAAAAGGATAACATTTGGATAAAATGTGGAAGTAATTCTTCAGTTTTGGTCATGTCTGGGAGAACTATTTTCATCACTATCAAATTTGGTATCCTGGTTTCCTTTTTTTTTATGTTGCCAACTAAAAGTGAGGGCTTTCTCTTATAATTAATCCATATTTGTGTGTGTGTGTGTGTGTGTGTGTGTGTGTGACAGAGATAGATACAGGAGGAGGATGGAAGGGAAGCAGAGGTACATGTGTAATGAAGTAGGATTGGAGGAAGAAGAAATCAGTATAAACACTTCTGCGAGATGTTTTGCAGTGTCTATAAAGAATTGACTCTAAACCTGCTTCTGTACCCCTAAGAAGAGAAATTATTTCTTTTCTTAGGTCAAGGTAATGTGATCATTATTCCATCATGAGCCAATTAGTTTACTATTTCTGTGGGCATAGGCTGCACCCTGGGTTGCTATGTGGTAAATGTGCTCTTGTGACCACAGAAAACATAGATATAGTATCATTAGAAATTCATCAATGCTTCTGGAAATGTAAGTCAAAGAACAAAAACTATTGTCAGAGCAAGTGTAGCATTACCTTTGTAAATGAAAAATAATACACATAATTCTTCTCCAAACCTTTGAGTCTTTATTAAGTAGAATTTATATTTAATTTGAATGTGAAATTCTTGATTCTGTTAATTACATTTACATTTATTATTCATGTCCCAGAATTGGCATTGATACATTTTGTTGTTGAAAGTCAAGGTTTAATAGCAGGAAATAATAGCAGGAAATGAATTTCTTGGGCAATATACTTTGCCACTTCTATGCATGAACAAAGGTAATGCCCCTAAAAGTTAATTACACTTTACTTTTTGGATGATTTGGGTCATACTGTGACACAAAGTGGATTTCTTGCTTGGCAAGAAATTGGTTGTTTGGGATGATTTATTTTCCTAGAGATTAAAATTCATCAACTTTGGACTTTGAAAGGAGCACTTAGTCTGAAGAAGGATCAAGAGCTGGCTTTAGTTTGTTATCTAGCTTTCAGTCTAACAACTATGTATGGAACTCTTCCCATAATAAGACTGATTGTATTAGTCCATTTTCACATTGCTCTGAAGATACTACCTGAGACTGGATAACTTAAAAAGGGAAGAGGTTGAATTGACTCATGGTTCCCCATGGCTGAGGAGGCCTCAGGAAACTTACAATCATGGCAGAAGGTGAAGGGGAAATAAATTTGGATCTTTTCATGTGGCAGCAGGAGATTGCTAGCAAGAGTGGGGAATACTGCCTTATGAAACCATCAGATCTCATGAGTACTCACTCTCTATCATGAGAACAGCATGGGAGAAACCACCCCCTATAAATCCAATCACTTTCCACTAGGTGTGGAAACACCTGGGAATTACAATTCAAGGTGAGATTTGGGTGAGGGCACAAAGCTTAACCATATCAAGGAGTTAGTATAGAAAAATGATGTTACTTAATTTTCTTCATTTCTCAATTTATTTGCTAAAGAATTGCCTAAGTACATCAGTCATATTGCATAATGATTAAAAACTTTTGCTCTGAAGTCAGACTCCCCATTTTTGAATTCCTGATCTGCCACTTAATGACCACATATGTGAAACTTTTAGGAAATAAGGTAATATCTTTGTGGCTCAGTTTTCCCATCCCATCAGGATGGGGTGGTTATTAGGATTAATTGAGTTGATCCATTCTTAGAACATTGCCCAGCAATAGTGAACACTCAATATTGTCTGGTTATTATTCCTCTCACACTGAGTGTGTTAAAAACCTATGTGCTCTAAACACAAGATATTATTATTGTTAAAGGATTGAAAGAAAAAGTTTAGAGAACAAGTGTTATCTATTTTTTCCTAGATATGGTATCTATTATTCTTTGTATCTTCTTTTTTTATATTTCAGCTTTTAGTCCAAGATGGAATGAAACATTTACATTTATTATTCATGTCCCAGAATTGGCATTGATACGTTTTGTTGTTGAAAGTCAAGGTTTAATAGCAGGAAATGAATTTCTTGGGCAATATACTTTGCCACTTCTATGCATGAACAAAGGTAATGCCCCTAAAAGTTAGATGATTGTACCAGCATTTAAATATAACTTGTGTATATCAAAGACACATTTGGACACACCAAATAGCTCTATCATAAAGTAGGATGTAAAGGAAATTTTTTGTATTGACACATATTTTTTCTCTGTGGAATTACAAAAATGTGTTCTCATGTGGAAGGTGGGGTGGGGGTGTGGGACTGACAGGAAGGCTAATTAGACAAACTTGGCATGTATAAGCATTTCTTTACATGCATCATAGTTCTTCTGTTTCAGTGAAGGGTAGTCATGACTACCATAAAGAAATGATGATGGGTGGCAACCAGAAGGGAGAAGCAGTGACTCATTCTTCCTGCCTGATGAGAAGAGATTGGGAGCCTGAGACTATCCTTTCCTGACCCCTTTTCAGGGCTGACTGCCTTTATGTTGCAGAGTCACCTTTCCAGGGTGATTTACACTGTGCTCCCAATTACCTCATCTCAATATGCTTACTTTTCTAACAGCATCTGAGATGTGCCTAGGAAACAGGGTCTTCCTGAAGCAGAAGGGTGGTGGCTAATTTTGGATCATGCGGCACTTTGCGGAAGGAGAAGTATGAGTTGTGTGCTCAGTGTTGGGCAGTTAGGAAGTCAGAATAGAAAATGCAAATATTTAATTTTTGTGGAAGATTAATATACCAGATGGGAATATAACTCTTTAGTCATGGTTTTTAATGTATGCTTAGTAAAGAGCTCTTGTGTCTCAGCGAGGCTGTTGGGGCCACCACTGATTAATTGGTTATTGGTCTAATTAGATATAATTCTTTTTGCAGGTTATCGTCGTGTTCCTCTGTTTTCCCGAATGGGTGAGAGCCTTGAGCCTGCTTCACTGTTTGTTTATGTTTGGTACGTCAGATAACAGCTAATGATAAATGACATATCATTAGCTATGCATCGCAATAAAACAGCCAAAATGAATGTCTATATGTTTTCTTTTTTAAACATAAATAATTACTCATAAAACTAGAAATATTGAGCCCATTCACTTAAAAATACACAAAAATAAATCAGTGGAAGAAAGAAAATAGAAACTTCAGAGGGTCCTGACCCAGCACGGTCTCCTGCCCTTCTGCTGCTGAGTTTTTTCAACTGGCTTGTATCATTTTTAATTACTAGAACTTATAAGCTTTTGAAATACATCTAATTATAAAAGATAAATTGGCAAATATTTAGCAGTATAAAAGAAATGTGAAATCTAAGAGTGTTTTAGCTTCTAGACACTCACTACTGCATATTTTCCTGGGAAGGAATTAGATTGCCAGGCCCTCTGAGCCTTTTCATATCCCGGAGAGTAATTAGCCCCTGCATTCTTATGCTAGTTCTTAGATGCTGTGCACTGGAGTTGGTACCCTGTAATTAGACAGCCATTTTTATGAGTGTGTATAAAATTGATTTGCATGCAAACTGTATTCAGACTCCGTATCTATAAAAGAGATCTACTCTGTGGACTTACATGCTTGAATCTTAAATTGATTTGCAATATTTCTGAATCTGTAGTAATCTATACTGAATCTATACTTTCAAGTTGATTTCTCGGTCAAAGATGAGATTCCTGTCCTATCTCATCAGCTGGACTTTTTACCAACAGCAGAACTTTGCTTTATTAAATGTCATGTAGAAGAGTATGGAACCACGGATATTAATACTAATTCTACCACATTGTTGCATGGTAGTGATGTGAAAGCACCCAGCACAAAACTTGACAAAGGCGGGGGACCTTTAATAGGTACTTTTGCAATTGAATGCTAACTAATAACTAAAATAACAAAATGACTGTTTGGGACGTAACACATTATATCTTTATGATGAGAAAATATAACCCATCTAGCATGTTTTACTATTATCATGGTTTACTCTCAGCACTAAATGTTTAAATTCAAATTCTCAAGTCATAGGTAGTAAGAAATTGTGTGGTTACTAAGTGCACAATCTTCCAGTTTCCACCTCAAGGGCTGTCTGGATTTAAGATCAGTGCACACCCTTCCCAGTAGGGATGCACGGCCAATTCTTAGAAAGATGCTTCTGTTTTGCCAGATAATGGATGGATCTTATTTAAATAATCAACTGTTCAGCATGACAGCAGGAGGGAGTTTCAGCCCATTGACCCAAGGCTTTACCCTTCCCTAATCTCCTAAGACCTTCTGAAGATCTGGAATTCCATGAAATTTAAAGGCTTTAATCAATTGAGTTTTACAAGAGAGTTCACTAATTCTGCAGTGGAATAAACTTCTGTTTCTCATTTATACCATCAAGCTTTGAAACAAGAGAGAAAAAGGATATATTTTATTTTCTTTCCTTTTCTTTAGGTACCAAACTTATCTCTCTAATTTTGAAGACCAAATTGTTCATTTTGAAATATTCCACTCTATATTAGGAATATGGACTTTGATAGAAATATTAAATTATTTTATTTCTTTTCTTTTTTTTTTTTTTTTGAGACGGAGTCTCGCTGTCACCCAGGCTGGAGTGCGGTGGCCGGATCTCGGTTCACTGCAAGCTCCGCCTCCCGGGTTTACGCCATTCTCCTGGCTCAGCCTCCGGAGTAGCTGGGACTACAGGCACCCGCCACCTCGCCCGGCTAGTTTTTTGTATTTTTTAGTAGAGACGGGGTTTCACCGTGTTAGCCAGGATGGTCTCGATCTCCTGACCTCGTGATCCGCCCCTCTTGGCCTCCCAAAGTGCTGGGATTACAGGCTTGAGCCACCGCGCCCGGCCTATTTTATTTCTTGTTCAAGAATCTTGTGATGTCTTGAGACATTTTTCGTTCATTTTAAAATTTGCATCATTTAACATTTAATGCCCCTTATGTATTGAATTAGAATTTTGATTAGAAGTTTCTCACAAGAACTATTAACAGATTTTGTTCACGTAAAACTCCAGAGTCAGGGAATGTTCTCACGTTTAGAATAGGCTGGGAATGTTGTGAGAAGCCAGATTTGACTCATGCTTTTTAGGTACAATTCATTTACAAGAAAAAATTGTGTTGGTAAACAGAAGAAAACATAGGAAAAGGCTAAATGAACCCTTGAGACTGTGGCAACAGAAGACTTTTTAAACTTTAAAGTCTTAGTTTAAATGTCAGTTCCTCAGGGAAACCATCCATGTTCTGCTAGATTAGGTTATATTCCCTGACTTATGCTTCTTTACAAGTGATAATGACAGTTAGGAACCAACTTTGTACTGTCAACCAGACTTTAGTGTTACTAGGAGCTGCCATGGAGCTCACAGCTAAACTGTGGTGTTTCCTTGTTGAACATAAACAGTTTCACAGAGCATCAACCCAGACACAGCCACTCTGTACCGTGATGGAACAAGACAAAGACAAGAACATTCCGGAATCATGACTGAATGCACAACAAAAACATGAATATCGTCCAAACACAACAATGCTACACACTCCCCTATCCTGGCTGACCTAAATGACTATTAATTTAGTACCAAGTGTCGCTTTCGCCTTAATTTACTCCTCTCATCTTACAGATAAGATTTACTCCAATCAGAGAATTGACCCCTGTTCTTGACAACATCCAAATACAGAGGAGAACTCTACTTTTTTGAAATCTCCCCCAAATCATTTAATACAAGCCCAAATCCAATAGTGAGTCCTTTCTAATACCCTCTTACTAAGATGCCCCATGGCTTCCCTTGTTGTGTCTCCTTTTGTAGTGAGCAATAGAGGCAACTGTGTGTTCCTGGTGGTCTTTGGCTGGACAAATTCTGACTTCTTCCATCATCTTGTACTTCTATGTGTTACAGAAAAGTTTAATTATGTTGTTAATTTTGAAGATTTATTTTTTTTCTGGTTGTGGTTGGTTAGGGTCTCAAATAGAACATGAGTACAGTCTCTCCGCCCAGACTTATCTGGACTTTTGTCTGGGAAATGATGGTCACTGGAGGTAAATGACAGTCTGGTTGCTAAAGAGTAAAGTTGCCCTAGCTGTAAAAAGAATATCTCCATTTTAAATGTTGGATATAAGGGAGTGTCTTGAGGGATTTAAAACATGTCCCTTATACAAAGACTCTAGGAGTTCCAGTCAAAACCTTTGTGCAAATCTCAGGTGATTTGGGAGCCACACTAGGAAGAAGCTTGTTCTGTTGGTTAGTGCAGAGAGAATGGAATCCCTTTTGAGTGAAATGCTTACGGGATTGAACAATGGACATTTTACTGGGGGAATATATGGACTGGATTTCATTTTTCAAGAGTTCTTAAGATCCCTTTATTCTCAGTACTGCAAAAACATCTGTTTAATTACATTACTGTCAAAGTAATAACATACTATAAATATGTATACCAACAAAGGGTTCCTATGATGCATTCTAAAATCTTAGGTCATAAAATTTGAGCATTGTACAGGATTCATAGTTAAGCTATGAATTTTGCCAGCCACTGGAAACTCTCATTCCAAACACTGAAGGGCTGAATTGAAGTGGATTTGAACCAATGAAGAGATCAATTTTCTTCTATGTATCTTCCATGCTTACATAACAGCTCAGCACACCTGGGAGTTGGTGTTAAACACCTTAATAATGTACCTGTTTTCAGGAATAAGAGCCCTCTTTCTACTTTCCATGTGTACATAATTTAACTTTCACACTTTCAGTCATCTTTTCCATTCTTCTCGCAGGGCAGTCTCTTTTCTAATGTGTTAATCACAATATCTGCAACGTTATCTAGGGCCTAATGTGTGCATAACACTAATAAAAATTAATCTTAATCCTTTCAGCAATCTTACATTGTATTGTTAATGAAGGAGGCCCAGAAACATTGAGGCAATGTTTACAGGTATTATAAACATTGCCTATGGTTTACAGTAAATGACAGAACCAGGGTTATTAATCTAGGGTCATCTGGAAAAAATGAATGGTGTCACTTAATGCACAATACACAAAAATTAACTAAAAATGGGTCATAAACCTAAATGAAAGAGCTAAAATCATGAAACTTCTAGAAGAAAGCAGATAGAATATCTTTGTAGTCTTGGGATCAGCAAAGGTTTCTCGTAACATTAAATGCATGAGGCATAAAATAAATGATAGAGTTGATTTCATCAAAATTTTTTAAAAAAGAACTTCTGCCTTTTGAAATACACCATAATGAAAATGATAAGGTAAGCTATATATATCAAAGGACTTATATCCAGACTATATGACGAATACTCACGACTTAATAATGACAACCCAATAAGAAAAATGGGCAAAATATTTGAACAGGCACTTGCCAAAAGGAAATATGTGAATAATCAATAAGCATATGAAAAGAGACTCAATTCCATTCATCATCAGAGCAAGGCAACTTAACACTGTAATGAGTTATCATTAGTATTGCTAAAATAAAACATAAATGATTATTCCAAATGTTGGGGTGGATGTGGAGAACTGAACTCATACACTGCTAGTGGGAATGTAAAGTGGGACAATCACTGTGAAAACAGTTTGACCATTTCTTACAAAGTCAAACACATCCCTACCATATAATTCAGCCTTTTTGGTCCTAGATATTTACTCGAGGGAAATGAAATCACATGTACACACTAAGGCTTTCCATGACTGTCTATAGAAGTTTTATTTATAATAACCCCAAACTGGAAACAACCCAAATGTTCATGAACAGGTGAATAGATAACAAATGATGTTATATCCAGTATTATTTAGTGTAATAAAGGAATAGACTATTGATACATGCATTAATACCAATGAATCAAAATTATTAAAATGAAAGAAAGAATGTAGGCAAAAAGTAGTATGTACTGTGTGGTTCCATTTATTTAAAAGAACAAAAAACGCAAATTAAATTTCTGTAGTAACAGAAGGAAAATCAGTGAATGAGGTTAGGGATGGGAAGAGGGATGGATTAAAAGGAGCCACAAGAAATTTTCGGCACTAATGGAAATGTTTATCTCCATTATCATGATGGTTGA